CTCGGGGAAGCACCTCATCTTCAATTGATCCTCGTTCAGCCCGTTGAGAGGAAAGGTGTTGAGCACATTGTAGAACACCCGGATGAAGTTAAGTGGATCTTCACTCGGGAGCCCATGGAATGCCGGCAGCTGGTTGTAGTGAATCATCTTCAGCTCAAAATTTTGTGCTTGATCCGGCAGACGGATGCACGAAGTGACAGGCCCGATAACCGGCTGGGCTAAGGTTCGGAGAGTGTTACGAGGAGCTTGTTCCTGTTGGTCACCCATGTTGACGTTGCTGCCTTCTGACGATTCTGGAGAGTGTTGGTCTTTTTCTTCGGATTCCAGTGTAAGCTCGTCTAACAGCTCTCTCAGGCTCTCGCTGACTGACTTGTTGATCGGGGATAAAAATTTGCGTCCACTCCTGGTACGCATACACTAAACCAACAAGAGTTACGAGCACCAATGATAAAAACAAAATAAAAACAAAATAAAACAAGGACTAATATCTAACAAATAAAAAGAAAACAAGAGAAACACTGAAACAAGAGAAATCACAAGAAATAAGAGAAACACTAAAAACAAGATGAATAGGCGCACGAAATAAACCTAAACCTTCCCCGGCAACGGCGCCAATTTGTTGTAAATATTTTTAACCGGAGTAGAATCGAAAGATTCGTCACCGGGTCGTATCACGAGGAAGGTCAGCCGGATTATTTGTACGGATATTTGATCACAAGAAAAGAGAAAAGAATTTCCTAAACACTCTAATTCAAGTTGGAGATTTGATTTATCAACTACGAATAATAAAGCAAAAAGACACGGAATTACAAAGCAAACAATTAACTTGATTATAAAGGAGTTAGGGAGTCGGGGACAATCGTTCTCGGTTCTCGACTCAATTACCGGGCAATCAATTGCTCGGTTAAGGGGATTGAATCGCCTATTCGTATAGAGGTTCACCTTCAATAACTCTTCGTAACAAGAAGGTGGACATACACGAGCAACTCATTAAACCCTACTACACATAGACAATACAATAACGAACAAGTCTATTCCAAACGAGCCTAAATCGACCGATGCCTCCCCTTTCGGTTCTAAACGTCAATTGATTAGGTTAGATTGGTGATCAATCAACTAACCCTAGAATATGCACAACTCACAAGGATTGAACAATTATCAAACACGTAATTGAAAACGAACCGAAACAATCGTCCCCTATCCCTAACTTATGGAATTAGCCACTCATCACAACATCAACAAAAGCATTCACCATAAAAGAAGCCATCACATTCATGTATAAGATGAAAAGAAAAGCATACGATTAATACCAAATCCAAGGTCGATGAATCAACGAGCAAACTGAATCCAAAGCTAGAAAATGAGTTTAAATCCTCCAAAAATCCAATCCAAGATGAAAGATTGAGAAAAAGTAATGTTCTAGGGTGAAAAATGATGAAAAACAAGGTCTGAATGACCAAAATAACGCCCCCCCAATCGATCTAGTACACTTCCCATTTCAAAATCCATGAAATCCGCGATAGTCATAAAACAGACCTTAGCGGCGCTAAGGGGTTAGCGCCGTTAAGGCATCTTAGTTGTTCAGCTCTGCCCGCTACCAAGCCTCAAAGCGCCGCTTTCCACAGGACCTTAGCGGCGCTAAGGCCTTAGCGGCGCTAAGGTCCTGTTCCTCCAAATTTTTGCTCCTTCTTCCACAACTTGTGTGCTCGGGCCCCTCAAAATGCTGCTCGAATCATCCACTTCTCCATGTTTGAATACTTTCCAACCCGATCAACCGAAGACCTGAAATCGCACCACCGAAAAGAGAAACGAAAAACGGAGAAAATAGGAAAAAGAACACAGAAAATACTAAACACACCAGAATAAAGATAAACCGCAAGAAACGACAAAAGAGACCGGAAATACCTAAGAAAAG